GCAGCATCTGAACAGTCCTGGGCATAAGATTCCCAACTCACACTGTGGCTAATTGGAGTAACTCTGTATATAAAAAGCAGGGAACCCCCGACCACAGCCTAAGAGTATGTTGGACAGCAATCGCATGTGTGTGTAAGTGGATATTTTCCTCCCATTAGCTGTGACCTTTTGAAAGTGAGCAAGGTTGGTTGCGGTTTAACTGTCCTTAATTTATCTTATGACACCCTACCTACTGCTTACAAGACCCCAACCAGTAGGGGTCGGTTTGAGTTTGAGCATTTTCCACGAATCAACCACATTTGACAGAGCATGTACACAAAAAAGCCTGAGAAAATAACACACTAGTAGCCACACCAGCCCCCTCCCACCACCCAGGCTGTCCCCTCCACCACCTGTGCCCTCCCTCTCTGTGCCGCCTCGTTCAGGGCAGCCCAGGCCCAGTGCGGAAGGAAGTTGCTCAGAAGTTGGAAGCCACGGGAGACACTGCCTAGTAGTGCCTGACAGTGACGTCACCTGCACAAAGCTCCAATGATTTGCATGTTTCTCCTCTTTGCTTCTACTCTTTCCCAACGTAGATATAGTTCCAGGTCTCTAAGGAGAGGGCCAGAGATTGGGCCTAGAGAATATGATCAGATTCATGGGGATTGAGGAGTAGATCTAATTAAATTTAATCTTTCTTGGATCTGATGGGTCTTATTTTGTTTCCAAATGGGAACCTCTACTTAGTTTCCCAAAAAAGTGTTTCACAGAAACTGAGGCTGATTATCAAGAAATAAACAAAAAACTTTTCCCAATTTCAAATGAGACAGTCTTTGTTTTTAATATATGAAAATTTTTACTTTGAAAAGATTAGTTAGAGAAAATAGACAAATCTACACTCTCTTATCATTTTTTCACTCTCCTAGCATACATTGAACATGTTGTTTTATGCCTATGATTGTAGAAAACAGGATACATATAAATGAGTGTAGTACATGTTGGTATTATTTCTCAATAGAAAAAATAGTCAAAATAAATGATCAAATATTTCACAGAAAAAGAAATATAAACTTTCAATATATGAAAAGATGCTTAGCTTCGCTCACAGCAAGAGAAAGCAAATTACAACCATGATGAGACACTATTTTTCACCTGTCAGATTAGAAAGTCCTGAGGCACACTCTAGGCATTCACTGACACGTTGACAGAAATACAGCACGGTGTTCTCTCTGTCGTGGGCGAGTTGGAAATATCTATCAAAATGACCAGTACACTCATTCACAGTGACAGAAAACATTATTATAGTTTCATCATTCCTTACAAGAGCAAAAGGTTGGAAATGAGTTTCACAGGAAACTGACTGTATTAAAGTGTTGACATTCACCAGTGAAATGGCATGCAGCCTCTAAGTGTCCCTCTGCACTGACATGAAAAGAGCTCTAGGATGTTTAAGGGAAAGGAGAAGCACAGAATAATGTATATCGTTTACTACCTCTGTGTAAGAAGAGATAAAATGAGACTATATATACAGGCATATATATTTATATATGTACATTCATATTTGCATATATAAAAGCTGGAAGGGTGCACAAGAAACGAGTAAGAGGTCAGGAGGTAGAGACAGTAGTTAAAGCAAGATCCTTTAATGCATTTTTTAGTGTTTGAATTTTTGAACCAAAAGGTATTATCTAACAAGTTTTATAGCGTCATGCTATGCATATTATTTTTTCAGCAACACCTTCTGGTTAATTTTCTATTTCGTTAAACAAGCTACATTCTTTGAAGATGCATAGCAGACAATAACGTGACATTTTGTAGTTTATTTCATAGTTTCTTATTGGCGTTTGCTTTAATTTGCGGATGCTACAAACGATGCTGCACTGAGTGAACACCCTTGCACAGAAATCTTAGTTCATACCTTTCATTTCCTTAGGAAATCAATAGGTGGGATGATGAGAACACTTTCCAGGCTGCAGCACGTTCTTCCTTGTACCATGGGCCTGGTGACGGCTCTTCATTGCGTGCGATCTAGGACAGCAGTGCTGGCGCTCAGGAGCTCTTTCAGTCACTTGCTGGCCTCCACCCTGGAGCACATTAGAACTACTGAAGGATATTTTTTAAAGTCCAGTGCCTGGCCTGTGATGAAGTCTGGGCCTCAGTGGTTTTTAAAGGCTTCCAAGAGGAGAGGCGCTGGGATAACGGATAGAGCAGCAGGTCCTAAGTCAGGCAGACCTGGAGTCACGTGGACTTGGGCACTACTCTATGCTTAACCTTATGCATATTTCTTAGCCTCTCTGGAACCTAGTCTTCTCATCAGTGAGATGAGTGTGATACCCATATGTGGTCCAGTGAGAGCATTAGACATAAAGCACGCAAACTGCCCAGCAGAATTCCTGATGCTCACTAAGTGGTAGGGACTTGCCATTATTCATACAAAACAAAAGATAGCAAACAAATTTAAAAAAGTCTAACAGAACTTGACAGAGACCACACATTTACCCGGATAAAATTTCATGGCTAACGAAAATGGTGTTTCTGGTCTTTTGGGTGAATTGTGTCATTTTGGTGTAGTATCTCTGGTTATCTTTTATTACTCAGAATTTCTAATTGGCAGTTATAGAGTTCTTTGATTAACATAAAGGGGAAAGTCAGTTATTACTTAATTGTGACCTGCTTCATTGACAGAAAGCCTTCAAAAATGAAGTCTCTGAGGAAAAGAATTCCAAAACAGTAGAGAGAATTCATAATGGGGACATTTTCAGAATGACTGCCTTGAGGTTCCCCTCTGTTACAGCTGAGAAGTGGATGGAGACTCTTGCTCTATAAAGACTATTGAGACACGAGTGTTTTTATGTGGAATTGTGTAAATCTTTGCCTGGTTTTTCCATTGCACACCTGTGGATGCAACCTGTTGTTCTGGTATTCATTTTATCCAACACAGTGCCGTGGACTTCAATCACAGAAGTCCTATGGGTGGGTGGAGGTCAGCGTATAAAAGTCTTTCCAGGACGAAAAATTATGTGGCAGGTTGACTATGATCCTCGAATTGTCCCAACAGCATAGGAGCAAGGAGAGGAAGTGTGGACAGGCAAAGAGGAAGTTCTCTCCACCAGCCCTTAACCTACTAAGAAGGGAAATTTTCCTGTTTTAATTGAAACTAAAGTGACCTGTTTATACTCTAGGAGCAAATAATGTGGAAGTTAAGAGCAGAGCTCCTGCAATCAGGCTGCTGGGTTCAAATCCCAGCTCTGCTTCTTATCAGCTGTCTAACTAAGGGGACTTCTTCACCCCTCTCTGCCTGTTTCCCCATCTGTAAAACAGAGATAATTGTACATATTTCATAGGGTTCTTGTGAGACTTAAATAAGTAAACCTGTACTTAGGCCAGTCCCAGTAATACCATACCAGCATTTGCTATTATTACTTCATTAGGATGGTAACCATTGAATTTGTAAATGTCACTAGCAACTGAAATTATTTAATTTGAACACTTTCTTCTAAAGCTAGGCAAACTTAGACAATGTGACATGGTCATGAACAAATGACACAGCTAGTTAGAGGAAGACGAAGGAGCGGAGGCTGTAATTAGGGGGTGTGAGGTGTGACCTCTGGGCCAGTGTTTCTCCCACCACACCACATGGCAGTCGTGCTGTGGGGGAAAAGCACACAACCAAAAAGGATATATAATCTACTTCCTAAATCAGAAATGCACCTGGACCTACCAGAGGTTTCCACAGGTGATTCTGAGGATCTCCGGGCCCATTCCATCTAGGGGAGGAGCTGGGGTGTCCGAATGGTGCACCCAGAGAGCACCACCAACAGGCCTGCTCTGCCTGAGACTCTCAGTCCATTTCATTAGCAGCCCCCAAAAGAGCAGTTGCAAATCTAGGACACACGGTCACAGAATAAAGTAGGATTTCCATGGTGTTGACAACAAAGGGAGCAATAAAGGTAATAACAGAGTATGTACATGAGGAGAAAACACAGATGCACCCACGGGTCCCTAAGAAATTTCTCACTGACTCCTTGGAGGATGCCTTTAGTAGAGAAGCTGTGCAGGTTTTGTTTTGTTTTGTTTTTCCCAGTTGACAGTGGTTGAAGGGAAAGCCACCTGATAGTGTATATAAAAATACTGGCTCTGAGTTCAGAGAGACCTGGCTTTAATGACCACTATTTAGAAAATAGTGACCTTGATCAGAAAACTTCATCTCTCCAATATCTACAGTGTGGACTATAATTGTACTTACCTCTGGGGGCTCCTAGAGGATTAACGGGGTTGCCTGGTACAAAGTAGAAGCTCACAGGCCCTGTTCCATCCCCACCTAACCTTTCTGTGGGGAAATAAGATTACAGATGACTGTGCGTGTTTCTGTGTTGGTAGAATCTACTACTCAAAAGTAGAACTGCCAACAGTGGATGCTAATGCTGTTGAGGGCTTGCAAGTACCAGGCATTACTAGCTCATGTAATCCAGGAGACAGGGCGCTGTAACTCCATTTTACAGATGAGGAAGTTATGGCACAGAGAGTCCAAATAGCTTGCCTGAGGTCACACAGATGCTAATGCTAGACCCGGGATTCAAACCCAGGCACTCAAGTTTCGGAGTCGAGGGGCGCAACCCTTCCACTGCGATGCCTCTTGGTGTGAGTGCAGGTTTCACGGGGTTAGTGTGAGGACCAGGAAACACGGTGCTTGTGAAACACTAGTGTAGAGCTGAGCACACACAGTGCAAGTTATGCTAGATGTTATACTGACACCATCAGAATGTCCCAAACCAAATGAGTCTGAATCTGGTGACCTTTGAAAGAGAAGTAACCTGGGTGCCTTCATGTGACTGTGGTTCCTCTTGGAGCCAGTGCCCCAAAGAAAGCATCATGACCATTATCGCAGGGAAAGAATTAGAACTGTGGTATTGACCATCATTACAGCCAACGCTGGATTTGATAGCTCAGCTGTCACACTGTTTCTTACCTTGGACTTTCCGTTAGATTTCATCAAATTAAAGTACACAGAGACAAATGCAGACTTTTGATTTTTTTTATTGTGCCTATTATGAAAAACAAAGTCCAGAACTTAAGTAGCAAAGATTTTGGGTCAGAATGAGCAAAATGGAAGGCTCCTAGCTGATTATCTGGTTAAATGGCCCTAAGGGACAGGACAAGAGCTGCATGCTGTCTGTACTCAGAAGACATTGTTATGCAGGTTGCTCAAGGAACTGGTGGAGATCATGGAGAGAGTGGTGCTAAAGGACGACCCCATGTCCCTCCCCTGAGTAATGGCAGAATTCATTGCTGTTACAGAGTAAGAGTTTCTGTTTCCCTAGTTGTTTGAAAAACCATCATACAATAACAACATAATAGAAAGGACACATGTAAGCTGAAATAACCCAAACCCAGAGAGAAGGCCCAGCTAGATCCTCAGGAGATGCGTTTACGGACAATAAAGGATGAAGAAAAGTTGACTTTTTTGCGCCACCGTCTGTTAGAACTCTTTCCATCGCCACAGACTGCCGTTCTCCTAAACAGACAGAAGGTGATGATGGCAAGGTAGATCACGCTCTTGAGGAGGAGGAGGAGGTAGGTGTAATAGGCAGAGGTGCTGGTGAGCTGCAGCTGCAGGGGGGCTGAGAGGAGTCATTTGATTAGTTTCAACTGTTCTTTATAAAGGATGGGACCTGTTAATGGGAGTGTGGTCACAGTTATCTATTTCTGACAACCTACATTCCAGCGACACCTCACACTACCAAAACCCAAAAGTAAGCATCTACCCCCACCACAGACGACAAGACAACTCAGAATGCAGTTTACAGGTCATGTCAAACAACAACCTCTGCTAAATTCACTTAGACTATTCCAAAATATAAAAAGTAAGATTGCATTTTTAGTGAATGTGTCCAATGGAATACAGTATTTGTGATAATAGCTTTTAGCATTTCTTCATCCCCACTGTGTCTCTAAGTGATAATAATAACTAATATTCATTAACCACTAACCAAATGCCAAACTTTTGTTCAGAGAGCTTTGCATGCAAAGCTTTAATCTTGTTACATTTTACAATAACCTATGACATCATTATTGTCACTCCCATTTTACAAATAAACTGAAGCCAGAGAGAGAAGTGGTTTGTCTGATATCATGCATTTAGTTATTATTAGAAGTCAGATTTTAATCTTAGCAATGCAACCTCAAAGAACACATTCTTAGGTACTCTGTAATACTGCATCTCCAAGTGCAATAAATGCCCCAGACACCAAAATCCTAAGCATAATTATAAAGTGGAATTCTGATTTAGAATCATTTGAGCCACTACATGTTGTGCATGCAGTGAGATTCCTACAAAGGGTACAATCTACGGAAATTCGGTGGTGTTCACAGAGGGTTCGGTAGGAGGTGTGAGTAAAGAAGGCATTATATGAAATGGAAGAGAGTGGTTAATCCAAATTCTCTGAAATTTTAGGAGGTCATGGCTCACTCACTTGTCCTTCCTAACTGTCCCTCATTGTGGCTATGAGGATGAAATTGCACTTAATATCCTTTGAAGTTTTGCAAGAAATGTATAATGGTAAGAAGTAATTAACGACAATGATGATGAGCCAGACTGAGTATTCAGTGAACCACACTGCTAAGTCTCTTCCTGTGGAAATTCCCCTTTTAAATGTCTTATTTTCATAGAGTCAAAATTTCAGAATCATTAGCACTTGCTGTGGAAAGGGATCCCAGAGGTGATGTCCTCACAACTCCTTGCCTTTGATCAGCTAATGTGTTAGCTGAGGTCCAGAGCCCCCTAGATATTGGAAATGAAGGAAAGATCAGCAAGGCTGGAGCCAATGCTTCTAGTCACTTTCTGTGTACATATGTAGGGAGAAAGAGCCAGAAATTAGCAGTGATTCTGTGACAGCCAAATGAGATATCCTATGCTAGTCATTGCACATAGGCAACATTATCTCTTCAATAACTGAGTTAGGTGTAATTATTCTTGGTTGGCAGATGAGGAATCTGTGGCTCAGAAAATGTAAGTAATTTTCCTATATTGATGCAACTAATCATTGAAAGAACTGGGATTCAAGTCTAGTCTGGGATATGGTGTAGTCCCTGTAATTACCCACCCCCCACCACATGTCCATCGTGTCTCAGAGCCTTGGCTTTGGGGTTTCTAGCTCTAGACCATATTGTAGGTGAAGAAGAGAGGGCTGAGTCAGTGTATGAACTCTTGATTCAGATGGCCAGGTTGAAACCCCAGATCTAGTTGTGTGGCATGGTGCAAAGACTTAATTAACTGTAGCTCTTTGCCCTGATCTGTAAAATGGTAAACAAACTACTGTACCAGCTCCTAGAAGTATTACGCGAATTAAACAAGAAACTGCATGCAAAACCCAGCACAATGCCTTCTGTATAGGAAGCTCTCAGTATGTGTCAGTTCACGTTATTAGCTACTAGCAAGGATCAAGGATTTTTTAAAAATCTACAAGCACCTTGATATCACATATTCCTCAATCATTAGCAACAAAAGTTGAACAAATGAATGAAGTCCATTGTTGGAGTAAGTCAGAGCGTACCACTGCACCCTCTAGTTTACGGTCATCTCATCCCAAACCATTTACTGGGTTAAGATGCTCCCAGGAAATAAGGCATTGAATTAAAATATGACCCAGTCTATTCTGTCACATCAGTCATTTTAGTTTTACTACCTGAAACTAGGGAAATTCAAAAGTTAAATTTTTCCAGAGGAAAAAAATGCTATAGCATGTCATAAAGGCAAACATATACAAAAACTTACAGATTTCGTCTGTCACACAAGTTTTAGTAGAATCAAAAGCAGCGACCACTAGAAGAAATGAGAGCAAATATTAGTCAACAGTTCATATCCGTAATTTGACAGTGTGTATCTGTGCGTGTGCTGATACATAGGCAGTCAGACAGACAGACAGATAGATAGACAGAATCTGCCAGCAGAGAGGAAAGAGTCATTAAAAATATGGGCCCTGCAATTCCAGGCGTAGTTCATCTGACTCTGTATAATTCAGTAGATCTAATTCATGCATTGTGTTTCTGCTCGTGAAGATGTTGACCCTCATGAAGAACACGTTGTTTTCTTCTTTATCACAACTGGAGGGAAATATCCAAGACTGTCTCATTTTCTGTCTGTACTCACAGCTCCTAGCACACTGCCTGCTGCAAAGGAGGTGATGGAGAAACACCTGTCAAGTGGGAAAATGCACAGAAAATGCGGCTACTCCACAGTCTTCAGCACACGCTGCTGACATGAAGAGTTGCTACCAAAATCAAGTCATAAAATCTTAGAATCCCCTACAAAATCTCACATTTGAAAGAGTTTGGTTTAGACACATTTCCCATGAGGGTAAAGGAATGAGGCATGGCTTTCCAGAGCATGCATATCCTAATATCCCCAACTCATGCACATGATTTTTCTGGAGTTGTGGTGTTTGTGGACGTGACAAGATATGAATAAAAGCTCACAGCTGTTGAGTGGTTATGAACGTGCCAGGCACTATGTTAAATGGAAGCAACACGCATTATCTTGTTTAATGTTCCAGTCACACTGAAGTGAGTTGTAGTTTGGAGCACTCCTTGTTACAAACAAGGCAATAAGCTTGGGAGAATAAGTGACTTGCTGAGAGTCATACCAGTGACGGCACAGCCAGCGTCCAAAGGATCATTGTGGCGGATTCAGTGAGATAGAGCATGTAAAAATAATCCATAGAAATAGAACATCTATAGAGAAACAACGTAATTCCTCCATAATGGACAGTAAAAACATCTTCTCTTCCAGATATGTTAAATATTCTGAACAAATGAACTTTTCATTACAGGAGCTCAGCATTTCAGTGCAATTCTTTCCAAAGATAGAAAGATAGGCCAAGCCATATTTATACTTCCCTGAATATAGACAACCTGAGGTGGGATTTATCTACAATGTAAAAACAAAAGAAGGCAAACATACAAAAATAAAAATCTTTTTTGGGGGCTGGCCCCATGGCCAAGTGGTTAAGTTCACGCGCTCCGCTTCGGCGGCCCGGGGTTTTGCTGGTTCAGATCCTGGGTGCAGGCATGGCACCACTCATCAGGCCATGCTGAGGAGGGGTCCCACATGCCACAACTAGAAGGACCTACAACTAAAATATAAAACTAGGTACTGGGGGGATTTGGGTAGAAAAAGCAGGAAAAGAAAGAATATCGGCAACCATTGTTAGGTAAGGTGCCAATCTTTAAAAAAAAAAAAATTTAGATAACTGACTGTTGGATGGAAGAAAACAGAGTTGAAATGATTGTTTTGGTTTATCCTTTTTCCACTAGATGTTTTCTTGTCTGTATGGAAATGCTTCAGGTATGCAATTTTATGCACTAAATTGGATCTTTTTTTTTTTGGCGGCTCTAAAACTGAGTTTGAGGTATAGGATTTGGGACAAATTCCAAGAATGAAAATGTTAGCATAATCATGTTTAGATATTAAACTATCTTCAAGAACAGACTTTAACATGTCTTAAAAGTCTCTTTCTTTTCCTTAATGGTGACTTATTCATTAAAACATAAATGAAAATCTCTTATTCCCATGCGCTGATTGAAGTACTAATGTGACACATCAGCCCAGCGGTTATATTAAACTCATGCTCTGTGTATTTGCTTCCCATCTGTTTCTTAGCTGTAGAAATAGTAAATTAGGGCTGTTTTTTAAATCTTATGTTAGTTAGTTTTAAGAAAGGATATTTAAAAATACAATAAATACAAAAATAAAGACATCCATGCTGTGTTTTCACTGACATTATTTCATTTGCTCTTCATCCCAGCCCCAGGAGAAAGTCAGGGCAAGTGTTGGAACCTAATCTGGTCACTGATGACACTAAGGATCTGAGAATGTAAAGCCTGACTTCAGAATTCAGACTGCTACACAGCAAAGGTCTTCACATGTTTTGTTCTGTGCTTGCTCTCCACGGCTTCACAAGGGCTTGTTAACCACAGGGAAAAGTACAAACTGGCTCCTTCTTATGAGTGCTCTGGGGCATTTGGTCTGGTGTGTTGACATCAGGTCCTGAGTCTAGATAGTTACTGGACCACTGCCGGGTCCAAGGCACTCAGCCCTCAGCCCACACTGTCTAAATATGCGCAGCATCTGCATCAAAGGGACTCCTTTGGACATCATGCCTGAATCACGAGTGACCCTGAGTGATTAGGAAAAGAATGTATTCTCTTACAATAGTGCATCATCCTTGGACAGTAAGTCATCCCAGTGTCCGCGTCCACACATCCCCTCCAGGCCTGGCACTGGCCAGTTCAGCAGTAAATATTTGTTGAGCTGCATTTACCAATGGCACGAAATACATTCATTATGTAAAATGAAAGTATGTTTGTACGCGTAAGCCTTATCCATTCCTTAATTACGAAATTTTACCTTATGATGGTATATAAAATGCAAATCTGAAAAACCTAAGACCATAAAAAAACTGCAGTGGCCAAATTATTCAATTGTTTGCTGAGCTGTTATCTCAAATGAACACCATTTTATTGCCTAATAACATTGTTTTGGGCTTGTACTTTGTGTATAGCAAGATTAAAGCAAGAGCGACTTTTTGCTTGCTGAGTGGAACATTCCTGAAAGACATGTAATTGTTCTTACTTCGTGATCAAGTATAATATCAAACGGGGAATCTTTGTGAGCATGTCTTATATGCTGAGTTGCAGGGTGTTTTCACATATATTGTTTCATTTAATCCATCAACAACCCTAAAAAGACATCATGATCTTAATATTTTTGATGACAAAACCCTAAAATGAGGCTGAGAAAAGTTAAGGAAATTTTTCTTTTTCTTTTTTATGTTCCAAAGCCTATATCATTTTTACTCTGTGGGGAAATAAAAGGACATTTATGTTACCAATAAATGGAATGACATTTAAGAAAGATTTATATTTGTTTGCTTTTCATTAATAATTGACGGAAAAGGTGGGGTATCTGCTTTGAAAAAAAAGTGTTCTGGAGGGTTATATTTATATTTACATACACTTACCTTTCTTTATTGAAGGAAAAGGAATCTCTTGGTCAATGCCTCTTTTATTATTCTCATGTTGGACGATGCATTTGTGTTCTTTATCCATTGAATTTTCAGTAACGGTCAGCCAGCTGAATTTCATGTATGTGTCGTTAGTCTTCACAGTTGTTCCCTCCTGGGATTCCACAATTGTACTGCCATCCTTTTCTTTCCAATATATCTTAATAACATCAGGGAAGAATTTCTCAAGAAGACAAAGATATGTTCCAGCCTTATGGAGCTTTATTTCAGCAATTGAAGGAAGAAAACTGGTGGGCTTGGGAGAAATGTCTGCAGGAAGGCTTATATCTGTGGGGGAAAATGGAACAGATATTATCATTACTATTAATCATTTGTTTATGATGATTTGGTGCTCCAACATGACATTTTAATCTCATGTGACCAAACCTTGCTAATAGGGATTCAGTATTTTGGATTAGATCCGTGGCAAGTAAGCATGAAGACTTGTCCCTTCGTTTGCATTCCACTTTGCTCTAATAAGCCTGGATTTCTCAAAGCCGTCATCAGAGGAAATGTGCCTTTCACACGCACAATTAATAGGCAATCATTGTCTTGTCTTATCTTCTGTATTCCCAGTGTAAGAAAATCAACGAGAACTTTGGCTAAAGCCTAATAATATGCAGCGTATGGAACTGCTTCACTGTGTTGTCCAAAACAAATAGCTCTTTTCCGTGATCAACAGCACAATCTATTTGCATTCCAAATTTTCACCAGAAATTTCTCACTCAAGCTATCTTTCTAGCTTATCCAGAAAGTTCAGCTTGAAACTCCTGGCAGCGGGCCTTCAAGGCAGAAGGACTAGAGAGATGGAAGGAGGTCTGTCCTCAAATCCTCCTATTGTCACATTAGACACTAACTGTTACCTGCCTGACTGCATCTGCTGAGGGTCACCATCTGTGGATGACACTCAATGTTATGATGCCCATAGCATTGATGCAGTGGTGGGATAAAATGGGTTTGCTGAAAGACCATTTCTTCCGTTTTATAAAATGGATGTTAAAGGCAACGTCCACTCCTTATTTCACTGTTCTCCTAAAGGATTCATGCATTGAAGTACTTTTCCAATTATATGGTGGGAAAGACACACCCTATTTGAAAATTTGGTGTGCTTCGTTGCACCAGTTAATGAAGATCATGAATTCCACCAAATTTTTCTCTTACATTTGAGTATAAAAACTGACCCTGTGCTTCTCACTAGATATTCACAGGCCTTTTTTTCTTCTGCTTTCCTTAGTGGTTTTGAACTTCTATTTTTCTTTCATGGTCTGACTGCATTTGTGTATTTGATTTTAGGTCTTCTCAAGTAGATTTTGGAAATAGGCAGCTGAAATAAATGACAAATAGTTTGTGCATTACAAATAGTTTGTTTCTTTTTCCGCCCCAGGGGTTGATAGATTAGAGAAGTCTAAAATGAATGTGACATGACAGATGGGAGAATGTGTTTGCAAATAGCACTGTGCTGTAGACACAAAACATGCAGAATTCAAAAAAAAAGTGCCAGAACATAAGGTGAGGCTTTCTTTCCCAAAATTATTCCTCAGAAAACAGGGGTCGCCTTATCTTTCAGTCCTTGGGAACCTCTCATACTAAAAGATGCTTTTCTAATACTCTGCTGTGACCAAAAAATACTACTTGGCCAGGATCTCCAAGTGAGATGAAACTGAAATGAACACAATTAATGCCAGTTTTGGAGCTCACTTGTGAAAGAAAATAAAGAAATTTAACACGTATTTTGTAAATATTACTTGGGACTAAACTTTCTACAGTTTATGCTTATGTTGCACATTTATAGGATAACAGAATAATGAAAAAAATGCTTTATTTTTATTTTGTAAATGGATAATTGCCTCTTTAGATAAAATATCCAGTGACATCATCCGACAGGCATCCAAAAACAGACACTCAACCCCTGAGACGGCCCAGAAAGGTGCTATAAGAGGATGTTTCAGATTCATGTGAAGAGTAGGAACAAAATTTTTGGTGAAATGTAAGGACAAAAAGGCAATATATCTCAACAAATATTTGTATTGATATAATTTTTAACTTGCTAGCTATAATCCAAGTAAGAAACTAAATATTATAAGTGGATATTTGACTTTTATCTTTATCACCATAAGTTTATATGTTCAAGTGATGGGGAAAAAAAAAAAACCACTTTTTTTCTTCCCAGATATTTCTGCTGGAAAATGCGAGATCACCTTATACTCAGATTAATAACATTTGAGATAATGCTTATTATACTGTAACCATTTATAGAAGCAAGTAGTAATTATCTTAGAAGTTGAAAGCTTTTCCAATTACTGATCGTTTGTTCTAAAGTGACCTGTAGACTAGATGGTAATTAATACATCTATCTATACTCCTGATCTCATAAAGAACTCAGCCAGGTACTAATTCGAATTCTGGAGAAGGAATCAACGTTTTTATCACCAACTGTTCCAAGATTGTCCTTAGCTTTGTGGTAGGTAATTTTCATATTTAATTTCATTTAATCCTCAAAACATCCCATTAGGATGATTGTTGCATAGATGGAATGAACGGATGTAAATATGTCAAACTGTTAACAGTGATACACGTCAATATAAAATTTTAATTTTTTCTTTACTTTTTTGTATTTTCCAATTTTTTCCATAATGAGCATATATTATTTACAATTTTAATAAAGAAATAATGAATGAATCAAAATTTATTTGCTAAAGGATGATTATACCAAAAGTGACAGACCCAGGAACAAAGTCTATATTTTTCCTTGCACCACACTCTCCTAAAAAACATTTTTCAGGATGTCATGAATTATATCTGTGTCACCATTGTTTAATTTGATTGCTACAATTTATACTGAGTATGTAGTCAGTTGACAAAAAGACCACCAGAAAGTTGCTTTTTAACTTATGAATTTTTTGTTCACATGATCATATCTACTAGAGAAATCAAAATATAAAATTTCCTTCATTTTTTCAATGCTTGATCTGCTTTGTGACAATTCTCTAAAAACTTTCATTTCAATAGGCTAGCAACACCCTTGCAAGGTGTTCTCCCTCATTCAGGCAAAATTTCATCTTTAAGGCTAATGAGGACTGAACAAATTTACTGAACTGAATTTAGAAAAAATAAACCCATCTTGTGACATTCTTGAATATAGTCGTTAATTATTTTGATGCTTACTATTAATCATCCTCTGAACAAATGGCACGTTTAGCACTTCTGTTCATTTTTTTCCATTGGTTATTTTGGGAATCAAATAAATAAAATATCTACACTTCTTTACAAATATTTCAACACAGAAATACCAAATGGACCTAAGATCTCCACCCCTTACAGACCCACAGTTGCTCTAACTAGTCAATTCCTTGTTAATGTCCTGTGTGCTGGGTCAGGCAGAGAACTGCCTCCAAGGACCTGGATGAAGTCACCAACCTCTCCAGAGATCCCACTGTGATTCACGACACAACTGGGTCTAATCCAAGAATTCTGAGCCAGCACCAACACTCTAACCTGTAGCACCTGCATTACCTGCCTCTCCTCCCCAACTTACGCTACAGAATTTAAAGAAAACTCACTTGTAACAAAGAGCTGTGTGCCAGGACCAAACGCTTTCTCCTGCCATCCTTTTGCCACTATCAGAAAAGCCTTTATAGAAATTTCCCTTTGTGCCTATTTTAAAATTGTACCCATATTTTTTCCATATTTATATAAATATATAAAGATTGGCCCAGCTAACGTTTAACAGAGATGAAACTCAAGCAAAATCACATTAGATATGAGTGCAGTCAAGAACTGAAGAACTGACCCCTCCCCACTTGTGCAGCTTGGGTTATGTCTTTTCCCATCTCGCCGCACGTATGTTGGAGAGTATGATTTTATCTTTTCTCCTCATTTTGCCTGAATCTTCTAAATCTCCTTCATCAAACGATTTTCATGTATAAAGTCAGTTCTTTGCCTAGAGTGTAATTTAGAGTTGTTTCTTTAATTTCCAAAGAGGAGCAATAATAGAAATAATATATTTGAGTATTTAATAAGTGTATATTCAATATGTTTTACAGGTATTTTGTGATTTATGTGTATTGAAATGGGGGTTTCTGGATTGATACTAAAGTAACTTTTTCTCAGAATTCAGTTCCCACTGATAGCAGATCAGATGAGTTGTTACCAAGTGTACATTCTCAACGATGATCTCTTACGTTATTGCTTGTTTAAAGACTGCTCCTTTTCACTTGAAAATAACTTCCCGTTTCCAGGGCATTGAATTAAAATCCCGTGCTGCTCATCAGAGGATCCTATTTACTTAGGTATTTCTGCAGCTGTCTCATCATAGTGGAAAAGCAGCTGCGGGTTACGCAATTTAGTAATGCAGTACAGTACAACTGTTACGCTTCTCTTACCAGCTTCAATATTTCTGGCGAATTTGATGCTAATACAGAAAGAAAATTGAGTGGAATGGTGGCAAAATGACTTGTCACTCTACAGAGATACCCTAAGAATCCTATTTTAAGTATTTAATAAATGCATATTCAATATGATTTACATGATCTTTTTTGGAAAAGAGAGAGGTAACTTAAGTGCCATGATTAGAAGAAAACTATTGTTTTCACACATGAATATTAATACAAATTGTAAGCAGTTACTAATGAAGAAGTTAGTTAAAGAGTCCACTTACAAGGTCAGGCTACAGAAGAGTAAATATTCAGACTATAAAAATATGACAGGGGCTGGCCCCGTGGCCGAGTGGTTAAGTTCGCGCGCTCCGCTGCAGGCGGCCCAGTGTTTCGTTAGTTCGAATCCTGGGCGCGGACATGGCATTGCTCATCAGACCACGCTGAGTCAGTGTCCCACATGCCACAACTAGAAGAACCCACAACGAAGAATACACAACTATGTACCGGGGGGCTTTGGGGAGAAAAAGGAAAAAATAAAATCTTTAAAAAAAAAAAAATATGACAATGTTTCTAATATCACATAAAAGTCCAGACCAAGCACTTTATAACAGACAAGTCTCTGTTGGATCCCAAACTTTGACATAGTAACTAGTCATGTGCCTTTAGGCAAGTAACTGAACTTCTCTAAACCTCAGTTTGCTTGTCTGTGAAATGGAAATAAGAGGATCTTCTATACAGGACTGCTGAGGAATGAGTTAAAGCACTGAAACTATTTAGCATGGTGTCTGGCCATCAGCAAATATTAGCTAATATTATTTTCTTTAATGGGATAGTTAGAGGCCATTTCATCAAATTCTTCAATCAAACAAAATATATGGATTTTATTAGCAATAACCATAACCTAAATTAAAAAAGGAAATGAGCACATGAGTCCAAGACCTCTTGGCTCTCTGGCAGCCACAGGCCAAAGAACATGGGGCCCAATGAAGCCAGAATCTAGAGCACTTATCCACTACACTAGAAGCTTTGGCAATGTTGGGACTTGTTCTATCTGTGTCTTGTGCCCTCTTTTATCTGCAGGATCCAGCACAGAAACCATCTTCAGTGAATGATTGCTGACAGAGTAAAAGAGTAAATGAGGACGTAAAACCATGCAGACTCTTTTCATGGACTTTGGAGTCAAAATGGAGCTTATTGAGCTTACAAATTCCCTTAAACTGGCCCATCACTGAGCAATACAACAAGAACTGTGGTAGCATAAATTTTGACTGATCTCAGCCTACCTCTAAGAAGCCAGGTCAATAAGCAGTGGGATTTATTAATTTTCTATAGTCGTTTACTATAAGAAGTAATTTTTGCACCGCTGTGAAGGACACGATGCAAACCAATAATATAGGTTTTTTTCCAGTTATTGGGAGAAAGGAGCATTATGTTTTATCTCAAAATATAAAGAAGAAGTAATTAATAAAAGTGTCTCTCATTTAAAAGATCTTCTACGAGAAAATTATCTTGAACCAATAACTTATACCAGTGATTTACTGACGTGGTCCTCAAAATATCTTTATTTCTAGCCTGAGTCTACAATTTTGTGTGTTTATTCTAAAAGTATAATTTCAATCTGCTTACAATCAGGGAAGTGAACAAACCATTAATGAAGCAGTTTTGTTTTCATGTACAGAGACCAGTGGCTGCAAACGTGCTGTTCACATGCTGAGGCCAAGTATATGGTGGTCAGATAAGGGAGATCCTAAATTGTTTTTCTAAAAAGCATCAGTCAGTTGTTCATTAGTAGGACAAAAATAAAAAAAAAAGTTACTTACCAGAGGGAGTTACTACGAGCTTAGTCCCTTTTCCAAACATCTTGATCCAGCCTGAGCTATCACACTGGTTACAGCTTCTACAAAAATTCAGCTTTCTCCTAAGCTTCATGATATGACTAGTAGTTGAATAGCCTTGTACTGGCAATGTGATCTTCTGGGTTCCTTTGGAAGTCCTTGCATATAGGTTTCATGACATCTGATATTTTATAAGTTTGCCTCAGATAAATTGACCCAAACGTCTGTTTTCCAACAAGGCACTAATCATCGAAAAGTGTAGATAGAAAACAGAAAGAATAAGAGCAGAAAAAGAAGAGATTAGGCCTAACTGGTCAACCAACTACTTTTCTAAATTACCAGGAAAAGCATTCAGAGAATTAGGACATTTTTTTCCCCAGGTGTTCAACTGTGTTGAAAGTGCTCAGAGATCACATCAAAGGGAAGGCCGTTTTGTTCTCAGAAACACCAGGGCTGCTTCGTTAGCAATTTGGGAATGTGTTTCTGAAAGGAAGAAGCTCTTCAGTAACTGAAATGTAAATACGCCAACACAAATATACTCAAGAAATGTGAACAAGCTTCTTCATTTTTAATAAACCCACTTTAACATTTGGCAACATGATTCTTTCCCAGGCACTGCCAAAAGAGAAAATAAGTTCTGTGATGACATTATTTTTCCTGGAATAAAAGAAGAAATTTATAGAAGTATATCTCCTATGAAAAATATGTTTCCTTACTTGAACTAAAAATTGAAAACAACATCTGGTTCTTTGATACGTTGAAAGAAAAGCCTCTTGGAGGCTATTCTGTAATCTTCTTGTTAAGATTAATCTGTATTCTTATTAATTGTAATCTTGGATCAGGAGGAAAAGAACTGCCAGAAGCAGCTAAGTGTTCCTCTGAGTTCAGATGAGTTGCCCATCTGCCAGGACCCAGAGAAGACAGGCCCTGAGCATCCCTGTGTCCACTTCAGATCCACCCTCCCTCAGCCTGAGTCCCATGAGCAAACATCGTCTCTGCTCATGAGAATGAAGGTATGAGATAGTCACGATGACCAACTGTCCCATCACAGCAGCTCACAGCCCCCAACACAATAGGAGAGCATGAGAGGGCTGGATGAAAATTAGATCTGAAAAGGCATTTTTTGAGAATTTCAAGTTATTACTACTCAGAGGCATCAAATACCCTTTGCACCTTTTGGAGACGTGAACAATGCCTACTTAATCCTGGTCTGACACCTTAACATTTGTTTTTCCTTATTCCAAGACCACGAGCAGAATTAACAGGCACTTTTGGAGCTGTCAATATTTCAAGATCCATGAAGGATGTAAGTAATAAAATGCAAAAGAGTAAGTAAACAGTTATAAATCTTTTAAAATGCAAGAACAGTGTGCAGAAAACAGTATAAGATTTACTAAAGGGCATAAAAGAAAACCCAAATAAGTGGAAAGACATGCCATTTTTGTGAAGGAAAAGCTCAATATCATATAGATGCTAATCTTTCCTAAATTCATATATATATAAGTTAACTGCAATTTCAGTCAGAGTTATGACAGCATTTTGATTTTGGTTCTAAGGTGTAAGGGTTGGGGATGGGCTACATAAGTTGATTTTGAATTCTAATAGGAAGAATAAATAGGAGACAACTGAAAAATAGTTTTTTGAAAAATAATAGTGAATAGACATTTGGTGTAGTAAATCTTAACATTTATTACAAAACTCCTGACATGATTTGACAATGATGCAAGAATAACGAAACAAAACAAAACAGAAATCCTCCAGAAAAATGCTAAAAGTAGAGGTCAACATTAAAATATGATTTGGCATTTTTAAGTTGTAGGGAAATGGTAAGTTACTTTAAAAATGGCTTTGGGCTATTAATTATCTGTTGGGAAAATAAAAAGTGCTCCCTACCTCATATCGCATAAAATACATTCCAAGTACGGGGCTGGCCCCGTGGCCGAGTGGTTAAGTTCGCGCGCTCCACTGCAGGCAGCCCAGTGTTTCGTCGGTTCGAATGACATGGCACTGCTCGTCAGACCACGCTGAGGCAGCGTCCCACATGCCACAACTAGAGGAACCCACAACGAAGAATACACAACTATGTACCGGGGGGCTTTGGGGAGAAAAAGGAAAAAATAAAATCTTTAAAAAAAAAAAAATACATTCCAAGTAGATTATCCTTTAAATTAAAAAGCATCTAGAGATACGAATAGAAAGAAAAAGTAGGAGACTAATTGTGTCCACTGGGTAGAAGAGCTTGGAATGGGAAGTGGGTAGGAGGCAACTGAAGTTAATATTTAATTTTTAAGAAGGAGGAATGTAGAGAGTTTTCACTTTTTACAGTATTTTCAAATAAATATTTTTAAAACGCAATAAATTGTGAGGACTTCCTGAAGGTTTTAGGGAAAAAGGTGACATGATCAGATCTGTGCTTTAAGAAGATCACTGTATAAGCAGAAAGGTGTGTTGGTCAGGGAAGCAATGCCAATGAAGGAGACATGTTTTAAGATGATTGCCATAAGCCGCTAAGAGGCATCCTTAGAGCCATGATTATTATAGCAACGTGGAGATGGATGGAAGGGCTAGTGCAATAAATGTTAACAGATTTGTTAGAGTTTTAAAAAGACCCACACGCAATCAATCAAATTACCATGAAAGAGATTGAACGTGAAGAAAAAGACATGTTAAAATCAGAAAGATGTGGTTCTAATTCCAGTCCACCCCTTGCTAGTGATGTGTCCTTGGGTACTTCGCAGAGCCTCGGTTTCCTTATCTTTAAAATGGAGATGAAAATATCTATTTCTCTGGACTTTTGTAAGGTTCAAATGAGAAGAATGTGTCTAGAACAGATGATGCAAACGTTCAGGCACTAGAGTGACACCAGAATTATGGCAGAGTGAGTTGTTCCCTTTGCATCTCCCCTCTAAGTTACAACCAGTCAGACATCCATTGACCAAAAACGGACTCTCTGCACAGCACATCAGAATGCCTGAGTGATTCATGAATCTATACATCTGAACGTGAGTGGACTGGACCTCCAGGAGGCAGTGGAAAAAGGAGAGCAGCCCCCTCCCCCTCCCCTTCCCCTACCAGTAGTGATCCAAAACACGAATCCTCACACTGGTGCACATGCCAGTGACCATAGGCTGCAAAGGCAAACAGGGCACTCATGGTTTGGCCCCTGTCCCCTACAGCAGTGCCGAATGGCAAACACATCTTAAGGATTCAGGACCCATAGTGAAGCTGGTGACCCAGCCCTCTCCCACTCCTCTGGCAATGGTGCTGGTCTTTCCAGCAGTGGGGACAACATCCAAGTCATGAATTTCCACAGCAGGGTCGGGGGCACTGACCTGAGCTTTGAAAGCACAACAGAATGGTGGGTGGCACACACGTCCTGAGGCTTCAGAACACAGAATGGTGCCAGCAACCCAGGCCTCTCCTCCTTTCCTGTCAGTGGTCCTAGTCTTTCCAGCAGTGAGGATGTGGATTTCCCCATTAGGAGCAGTGTGCCCAGACATGAGGTCTCAAAAGGCACATCACAGTGACCAGAGGTTGCAGGACTAGCAACAACACTTGTAGCTTAACCCCTGTCCCTCCTCCAGGAGTAGCAAGTGGTATCTGTGAACTGAGACTTCAGGAAACATAGAATGATCCAGCACCAATTTGTGGCACCCCTGACAATGGCTCCACCACCAGAGGGGGCTGCATAAAAGTCCCTGGGTCCCCGGGCCCCTGGCAGTGATAGTGACACCTAAGAAATAAGCACCCCTGGCAGCAGTGCAACCAGCACCAACAGACAACCTGTGGGCAGCAGCACAAGTGATGCATGGGGCAGCAGCACTTGAGCCCATAGAGCCCTTGGAGAGCCAGTGGAGGAACACAAGGCCCAGGTGACCCTGGATGCAGCAGAAGTGTGCTCACAGCCTGATGACTTTGGTAGCAACACCTGAGACTACAGGGACATCATAAGCAGCAAGGCATCAGCAACCTCAGAGGCACAAGTGGCAAAATGAGGGCACTGACAACATCTCTAGCAGAGGCAGTGGAGGATGGAAAGTGCCAGCACTCATGTACAGCCAAAAGTAGTTGAGAACCAAAGTTGTACCCAAATAAGAAAGATAGTTGCTACCACAAATGCGCTGGCCAAGAATCAATTTTTCAAACACCATGAAGAACTACAGTGACACAGCAGAATAGAAAGAGAGTGACAAGTCTTCAGAAACCAAACTTGAAGTCACAGAAGATTACAATCTGACAGAGAATTAAAAAGAGCTGTCATGAAGAAACTCAACAAAGTACAAGAAAACTCAGAAAGACAGTATGTGAGCTCAGGAATAAAATGAATGAACAGAAGGAGTACTTCACCAAAGACACTGAAATTCGAACAAAGAACAAAAAGAAATGATGGAGATGAAAGACACAATTAATGAGAGGAAAAATAAAATGGAAAGCATTAAAAATAGAGCAGACCATATGGAAGAGAGAATTATTGAGATCAAAGATAGAAATAGAAATGATTCAGGTGGAGGAAGAGAGAAAACTAAGACTTTTTAAAAATGAAGAATTTCTATGAGAAATATCTGACTCAATTAGGAAAAATAACATAAGGATAATAGGCACCTCAGAGGAGAAGAGAGGAAAAAGGAGCAGAGAGATTACTCAAGAAATAAGAGCCAAGAATTTTCCAAACGTGGGGAAAGAACTGGACATGAAAGTACATGAAGTTAAGAGAACTCCTAATTACTTCAATGCAAAAACACATTTTCCAAGGCATATAATATTAAAACTATCAAAAGTCAATGACCAAGAAAAAATATTAAGGTCAGCCAGAGAGAAGAAAATAACCTACAAAGGAACCCCCATCAGGTTTTCAGTGGATTTCTCAGCACAAACCTTACAAGCTAGGAAAGAGTGGAATGATATATCAAAATACAGAAAGACAAAAACCATCAGCCAAGAATACTGGGTGCAAGAAAAGTATACTTCAGATATGACAGAGAAATAAAAGCTTACCCAGACAAACAAAAGCGGAGGGAATTCATCGCCACTAGACTTTCCTCACAAGAAATATTGAAACAAGTCCTCCCACCTGAAACAAAAAGGCAAATTTACAAAGCATTGTGCAAGAAGATAAATAGACAGATGGAATCAGGAAATTGCAGCTCTATATCAGAATAGGTCAGTAAATATTTAATTATGACATAAAGGATAAAGAGAAAGAAGTCATCAAAAACAACTATAACAACATCAGTTTGGTCACAAACTTACAACCAAAAAAGAACAATTTGTGACAACAAAAACATAAAAAGGGAAGAGGAAAAAGACGGAACCTGCATAGGCTAATGGATGTCAGAGTCTATCAGAAAAAGAACTATCTCATCTATGAGATCTTTTATACAAAAATCATGGTAAGCACAAAACAAAAAATCAGAGCAGAGGCACAAAACATAAACTGAGAGGAAACATCACAGAAAACCACCAAAGTGAAATGGCAGACAGAAACACAAGGAATAAGAAACAATGGAAATATAGAACCAGAAAACAAAAGATAAAATGGTAGTATTGGTCCTTCAAATATCAATAATCACTCTAAATGTAAATGGATCAAATGCAACAATCAACAATCACAGAGTGGCAGGGTGGATTAAAAAGCAAGATTCAAAAATATGCTGCCTCCAGGAAACACATCTCAGCTCTAAAGACAAACATAGACTTAGAGTAAAGGGATGCAAGACCATACTCCAAGCAAATGGCAACCAAAGCAAAGTGGGTATAGCTATATTTATATCAGACAAAACAGATTTCAAGACAAAAAAGATAACGAGAGAAAAAGATGGGAATTATATAATGATAAAAGGGACACTTCTTAATTTATACAACGCCCACAGGCAAAACATGTTTAATGAAGTACGTGTTTCTTTTTTTCAAAATAAGAAGTGTGCGTTTGTCTGTTCTGAACAGACGTGCATGAAAGGCACTTGCATGTGGAAACATCTCTCTTGGGAAATAAACACTCAACCTTAGATCTGAATGTCCTTCCCACCTTTCTGTCTGCTCCAAGGCCACAAGCTGGGACTCTGTGTTTTCTAGTGCTGAACGGAAAGAAAATGCATAAAGATGGGGTCTGCTATGAATTAGGCACCATCCACACATTTATCTCTGTTCAGCTTTACCTATACAGTAGTTACTACTCTTAAAAGGCAGAGAAGGAAATTGAGAGTCAAGGAGTTCAAAGTGAGCCTGGATTTGAGTTCAAGTTCACGGGATTCCAAACCCTATTCTTTCAACTACTTCACGCTTCTTGGGTGTTGGAAAGATGTATGTGGCAGGGACATAGTTTCCAGTTCTCTTCCAGATCTGTATAATATAGAGGATCTCTATCTCAAATGGTCGAGTATAAGATATTGGATGCTACTTTCTAAGAATCACGGGAAATATCAAACTAGATTAAAAGTAGGTGAAAGGGTTGATTTGCAAATTCTAAAAAGCAGTGAGCAGTCAGTGCAAGCACCCAGCAAAACAATCTGTGGGGACTGAGTCTAGTTTAATCCAAATATACAACTCGATCCCACAATTTAGTTTCTTTTTGCTTGTCCTTGAGTTACACTAGGAGATTGAAGTGTCCATGGAAACATTTGGGGCGTGCAGTTCAGAATTATAATTATAATTTTGATTAAGTGGCTATTTCTGTCATGGGCTTGCTGATTACTCTGCATGTGTAAGCTGGAAAATAAAGAGTTTCTAAACTGGCATTAAGTTGGAGAGAGGAGTGGGAGTTCTCTGTGTTGGATCTGCGAGTTTTGGTTGGGGGCTCTGTCTTGACAGCCAATTCTAGACTCAGGTGGAGCCCCACGGGGTTTGATCTAGTCTGTGGTTCACTTTCTGGCAGAGGAAACCACAATTCCCAGGGTCTCCTGTCTCCTCCTCTCAGATCTCACACCATGGGAACTGTTTAAAAAATATTTGGGTTTCCTCATCTCCTTCTTAATACCAGAGGAAGCAAAGGATGTGGAAGGCCAAGGAAACAGAAGCATTCTTCAAGAATGTCATTCAAGAATGACAAACATTCTTACTACTGTGTTTGCCCTTTACTAGTTAGGGGAGTTTAGGGAGAAAAATAACACAAACTGTGGGGACTAGGGTGAGAGACTGGGAGTGGAACCAGAGATTTTTTCTGGCTACTTATTAGACATCCAAGAAAACAGATATTTAGCTGTAAAGTGATGGTATAGATTCTGTTGTTATTACCATAATTGGTATTTTCAAGGTGTGGCTGGTAAGACTTTGGACATGAAAATGTCCCGAGTCACTCTAGCAAAGCAGAAAGCGGGTCAGGGCTACCAAACTTGGAACCACGTGTGTGACCATCCAGTTAGGGTTGGTCCCAGGTTATCAGAGTGAATAGTAGGAATTGAGGCCTTGGTTTGCCAGGTCCTTCTGTAACTGGCAAGGAATTTACAAATGTATTTGTAAAGAAACCAATCTCCACCTCCCACACGCCCATATGTTTGATGTATATGCCAGGGAAACTATTTCAGTTATTGGGGTTTTCAGAATGGACAGGAAGCCACAGAAAGGAAGGGGAGTAAATAGCCATGGGAAAACAACAGGGAGGTAGACACAGCTGGGGGTCCCTCTCCTGCTGACCATTATCCCTTCTCAATGGTGTGGCAGTCACATACTTTGTCTACATATCAGACCTGACTGATGTTCTGAGGATAGCATTATGAAGACAAGACACAGTTGTTAAAGCTTCCTTTTGAGAGAAATGCAGTTTTGCTGAAAGAAGTTCAACACTGACCACCAAGTGGCAGGAAACAGCCCTGGACTGAGAACCTGAAATGCAGGTGTAGCCCTACCTCTGTGGTTAACTAGCTTCGGACTCACCATCTCTGGGCCCCAGCTTCCTCATTCGAAGTGGGGGCATTGGGCTAAGAGCCCTTCCTGTCCCAACAGCCTGTGATCCTATGATTAAGAGCGTTGAAGAGTCTATTGTGGTGCTCAAGTGTGAAAGGAGTTGAGGGTTAGTAATAGACAAGGTTTTCTTACAGGTCCCTTCTGACTCGGTGACCTTGTGAGATCCCAGCAGGCACAGCAGCAGCTGGTTTCATCGGACTTGGCGAGATTGATAGTCAGGTAAAAGATTCCATTATCTGTCTTATCTGTCTCCCATTGGTAATTAGGCTTGTCTTGCTTTCAATTCTTGGTTAAGTCATAAAGGACTCGTTTCAGGGGCTCCCCTTCTTTTTTGTTGGTACCAATGCTCAGTGGCATTCTCTAGGGGAACCCCAGACAGCTTGCAACTTAGGTGCCCTGTTTTATCTGGTCTCAGGCTAGAGGAGAGTTGATCCTGAGATATTCTAATTTCAGTGTCTCCTCTGAAAAGCAAGGAAAGGACTCAGAGGCACTTGAAGAGGTTGACTCTGGACATAAAACCAACGAACAGACAAGAAAGGAAAAAAGCCAACCTACAAACTCAAGCCAAAGACACAAGGAAAATTCATGGGGTTGGCATGGCCAGTGACTGGTCAGAATGGACATTCTGTGAATCAGGCATGAATCAGGACCAGGGATGCAGTGGTGGCCCTTGTTCTGGGGAGTCAGGGATGGGGCAGGAAGGTTTCCTCTAGAACCAATGAGTCCTTCTCAGTAAGATCTGTCGCAGCTATTTTATCACTTTCCTGGTATTAAGGAACTCTCAGATCCTGGGAGACCCATCAAAACACCTGTTACAATAATTCAATGTTAACTTCTCCTTGGGAGAAATTCCCTCCCATTTTTCCTTCACATATTGCTTCAAATATGCCTTGTCTTGAGCTTTTTCTCAGTTCCTGAGTTTTTGATTTTTCACCATATTTTGTGACAGTGTGGGAGCTTTGTATGGCTGTCATGAGAATTGGAAGGAAATTATCACTATTGTGTATAGTAACAAATGAGATAATAATCCCACAACCTTATGCAGAAGTATATACATTTTATAGATCAGTAGTTTGCAGAAAGTTCACAAAGTTTGGTAAATATTAACAATCTCTGTAGTTATTGCTTTCGATACTACAGATTGTTACCCTCCACTCTTTTCCTTTTCACAATTCTTAGTTTGTCAGAATTAAAGCCAAGCTTTACTTTTGTTTGGAGGACACTGTAAGATGCTATTTTTAAAGAGTTTCTCTTTTTTGCTGAGATGGCTCAGTGAGGCGGTTGAGTTATAACAGGAAAGGACACTGTGACTCATTGAACTCTATGCTCATACATGAAACCTCAGCAACCCTGTGAGGTCAACACCATGCCCACTTGAAACTGGAATAACAGAAGGAAAACGATCTAGTGACTTCCCTAAGTCACAGTGTCACTGAGTGGCTGAGCAGGAACTTGAACCCCAGGTACATGTTACTCAAAAGGCCTCATATCTTCCTCCCTCCCTTCCTTCCTTGGACAATCCTCCACCTTCCCTCCCTCCCTCCCCTCCTTGAAAGTGAACAAATCATTCTCAGCACTGGATTATGGCCTCCTTCCCAGTAGGCTTCCCATAGATGGCGAAGCAGGGACAATTTGGGACACTTACAAAAGCCAGCCCAGGCCCCGGGGAGGTGAGGCTACACAATAAACTAACCGAACTGAAAGAAGCACCACAGACTGAGTCCATGGGCTCTGAGGTCAGACCTTGCTCAGGATGCATGTGCAGGAGAAAAGCCCTCTGTGACAGTAGGCAGGTCCCTCCGGGAGAGAGAAAGGGGGAGGTGTGTGTGTTTGCACAGGTGTGACGACGTGGGAGGGTTTTTGTTCAGCGACAGAGGCGCACGTCCCTGCCGTGTGTCCCAGCAGGCGCAGTAATACAGCCCCGCGTCCGCCTCCTCGACGTGGTGGATCCTGAGGCTCGCCGACGGATTGCCCTGCCGTCTCCTGGCTTCGTATCTGTCCTCACTGACGCCTCGCTCGTGGACGACATTTTCGTTTGAGGAAATGTAGAGAATTCGTCTTAGAGGCTGGCCTGGCTTCTGTCGGTACCAGTGTATGTGCGCATTCTTCTTCAAGTCATCTCTTTTTACTTTGCATTCAAGAAATGCTGTATTTCCTTTTTTCTTGGTAATGGATGTTATGAGTTGTGTTATTAGGATGTCTTCACTTGTATCTGAAAGAAAAATGAAAGCAAAAATTAGGGAAATTTTGATATTCATTGAAACAGTATACGTTTGTTCTCTATTCATGGAAAGCTTGGGGTCTGGAATCTGTCAGCTTAGTTTGAATGCCAATGTGGCTTTCTTCCACCTGAATGGGCTGGTTTGACCGTCCACGCTTTCTATGGCCTCCCTTCCAATGAGTGAGATACCCCTTGGGTAGAGTCACTCACAAGTCCAAAGGGAAGCCACCAGAATGACGTGTGACAGGAGCAGCATTCTGCCCGCACCTGTCAGGAGAGAAGATTGAATAATGAAATGATCACAGAGCTAATCTCAGAGCTGATTTAGTCAGAGGAAGTGGTGCTCTGAACACACAGCTAAGACCCATAGACTGCAGGCGCCCATGAAAGGGACCTACGGTATTCCCCCAAAACATCCTGGGGAAACAGCTCTGCTAACTCCATTCATCAGCAGATTTCTCTCACCACTGTGTGATTGTTGCCTTCCGATGATGTTAAGGTAAAGAAGCCATTTTCTGGTTAAAGGACTAAAGTCCCTTATTGGTCTAAAACAGAGAGCGATGGAGAGAGAGAGACAGAGGGAGAGATGGAGTGAGAGAGAGAACCTAGTCTCCATTTGAGGAGCCTCTTGGGTAACTGTCCTATTCTAACGTCATTGCACATAACTACACTTCGTCAGGCAACCGTGGACATAGGGAGAGCTTACTTAGGTATGACCCAGCTTTATGCTTTAAATAACCCAGGCAAAGGAAACATTTCAGATTCTCTTGTTTTTGAATGTACCATTAAATAGGAACCATAGAAATGCGGTGCCCTTGGAGTACCTTAACATATCTTTGAAACAAAAAACATTATTTCTTATTGTAAAAAATGGATGCATACTCAGTACAGATCATAAAGAAACACAAACAGAAGAGAAAACAATCGCTTTTTGTCCCGTCACCCGGAGACAACTACTGTTAACAGTTTGGTGTATTCCCTTATGGATTAATTCCTGTCCCTTTTTTTTTTTTAAGATTTTATTTTTTTTCCTTTTTCTCCCCCAAACCCCCTGGTACATAGTTGTATATTCTTTGTTGTGGGTCCTTCTAGTTGTGGCATGTGGAACGCTGCCATGGTTTGATGAGCAGTGCCATGTCCGCGCCCAGGATTCGAACCAACGAAACACTGGGCCACCTGCAGTGGAGCACGCAAACTTAACCACTCGGCCACGGGGCCAGCCCCTGTCCCTTTTTTAAATGTTTCACATAGACTAATATTGTATATTCAATTTTATGCTCTGTCTTTATTACTTCATATGATACCATGAACATTTTTCTACTCTGTAATGACTTCCTTGCCGTGTTCTAACCCTTAGCAAGATTCCTTGCTCCACCTCCACACTGGATCATTCACAGATTTTATTAATTTTACATGACCAGCTCCACAAAGCATAAGACCAGAACAAGAAATTCATTATTTCATTTATCACTGTTTTTGAACACCGTTACTCTCCAGCTGCTCACTAGGCAGCTGGTCACTAAAATACACTTTATCACCTGCCTTTCCTTCCCTGTGTCACTTCTTTACTGCCCTGCTGGTCTGCCTGAACCTCCCAAATAAACTACTGACACTCAAATTCTGAGGGGCACCTTCTAGAGAACTCAGCTAGGACAGGTTGGTTGTGTCCCTTGACTAAAGGCTACAGCTCCTGTCGGGTGGCCTCTCAATACAGATACCCTCCCATCTGTCATGACAATTCCCTGTCCTTCCAGGTCTGAGTGTAGCAATGACTTTTGTGCTGCAATGGCAAAGCCGAATAGTTGGGACAGAAACTACATGGACACGAACTGAAAATATTTACTATCTGGTCCTTTGCAGAAAAGGTTTGCCAACTCCTATTTTAAAGAAACTAAAAATAAGATTTAAAAGATTATATTTTACCTTCATTTATTCTATTTCCAGTGCTCATCATTTCTTTGTGTAGGTTCAAGTTTTTGATTTCTATCATATTTTTTCTGCCTGAATAATTTCTTTTAACTTTTCTGATAGAGGAAGTCTGCTGGCAACGAAGTCCCTCAGTTTTTGTTTTTTCTGACAAAGTCTGTATTTCTGCTTTACTTTTGAAGGATATTTTTGCTAGGTTGTCAGGTTTTTTTCTTTGAAAACTTTAAAGATTTCCCTCCAACGTCTTCTTGCTCGTGTTATTTCTGACAGAAGTCCACGATTTTTTCCCCTCTGGCTGTCTTCAAGATTTTCTCTTTATCTTAGCTTTTGGTGTCCATTACTAATTCTGGTAGATATTCAGCCATTATTTCTTCAAACATTTCTTCTTCCCCCTTGGCTTTTTCTTCTGCTTCTGGGATTCTAATTACAAATATGTTTGAAAATCAGACATCGTCCACAGTCCTGTTCTGTGGTTTATGATATTCTGCTCGCTCTCTCTCTCATCTCCTTGCATTGCAGTTTAGATAACTTCTAATGGCCTATCTTCATGTTAACTAACTCTTTCCTTCTTTCTTTTGAGTCTACTGGTGAGTGCTTCAAAGGCATTCTCCATTTCTGTTACTGTGTTTTTTCTTTCTTTCACCTTCTTTTGATTCCTTCTCATAATTTCCATCTCTCTACTGAAATTACCCGTCTGGTCTTACGTCTTGTCCACCTTTTCCATCAGAACTTTTACCGTATTACTCATATTTAGTTTAAATTCCCTGATTGTTCCCGCATCTGTGTCAGGTCTCAGTCTGGTTCTAATTGCTTTCTCTCTACTTCTTGCCTTTCTGTACGCCTCTGAAGTTTTTGGTTGGAAGCTAGACTTATTCTATAGTACAATATGTACTGAGGTAAACATATTTTGTGCTTGAAATTGAACAGCTTTCCTTGTGCTAGGTCTTCACGCGGGGGTTTGTGTTAGTCTAGTCGGGAGTTACACTGGGTTTGTAGTTTGTTGCTGCAAAATCATCAGGGTTGAGTTTATCATTGTTAAGTTTCAGAGGCTTAAAATTTCTCTAGTCATACTTTGTTTTTGTCTTCTCACTTGGCTTTGAGTCTTGCCTTTGTTATGATCCCCATAGGTAGTCTGTTTCTTCAAGCTCTCTTAGCTTTTATTTTTCTGTATCCACCGTTATTTTTCCTCAAGGTTTGGTAGCATAGTCAGAGGTGGGGAAGGGAGACATTCTCTGATATTTTGATTTAGACTCTGTTGTAAAGAGGTAAGTGAAACTGGGTCTTGAGGATGTGGGCTTCGGAAGGGTCCCTGCCCCTCTTCCAGAGGTAGGACATTTTTAATTCTCGTACCCCTCTCCTTGATGCAATAGGTATCCACCTACTTCAGGGTGTGGTTTTGATGTCCATCCTCCTGCAGATGAAAACTTGTCACTTTGTGGAGATAAGAGAGATGGTTCTGGGCAAAGTTTTGGTGGTAGCTTCATTTCCCTTCTCTTAACTGCAGTGGGATTTCACCCGTGCCTTCCCCTGAAGAGTCAGTTCCTACAGTAGAGATGGGATGGATTAGGTCCAGGTGGACTTTGGCAGTGGCTGCTGTTACTCTCCTGCAGCCAGCACCAAGGAGGAAGCCTTCTGTGGATTCTCACTGATCTTCCCTGAAAGAATCATGTGGGGTTTTGGAAAAGATGGTGAGAAATGCCCTATATTTGTGGTCCCCAAGGGTTCATACTCTCTTACTACTCTATACTCAGCTCTTATTATTTCATTACAAATTTCTGGTTTAATTTTCTGACCAGCTTAACATGTTTGATGACATCTGTCCAAGGTAACCAAATGCTCAGCTCCCCTGTTTCCCTGAAAGTGCCTGTCTGTCTCCAGATTTTGTGTAAGTCACTTACCCTCCAAACTCAATTCTCTAATGGGTTCAAGCGATATCATTAATTTTCAGTTTGTCCAACTTTTTGTGAAGTTGTCATAAGATGGAAGCAATGCCATTTCCATCTCTCTACATCTCTAAGCACATTTTGGTCCTTTTTCCAATTTTTTAAGGGGTTGCTTTTCTTATGAGTAAATTGTCAGTGTTCCTTATATATTCTGGACACTGGTCTTTTCTATGATATGAGTTTTGAAAATATTTTTTCCCTAACCTTTTCATTTTCTTATCAGTCTTGAAAAGAGTGGAAATGTTAGTTTTGAGAAAGTGCAATTTATCAAATGTTTCTTTTATGATTCTTGCTTTCTTTTCTCCTAAGAAATCTTTGCTTAATCCCACGCAATAAAGATTTTTTTCCTGTATTTTCATCTGGATGTTTTCTTGTTTTAGGTTTTAAATTTAGGCCTTTATTCCGTTTTGAGTTAATTTTGGTACATGGTGTTTCGTATGGATTGAGGTTTATTTTTTTCCGCATAGATGAACAATTGTTCCGATACCATTTGTTGAAAAGTCTATCCCTCCTCCGTTGGATTTCCCTGGCTCCTTTGTTAAACATTAGCCATTTATGTATGGGTCTGTTTCTAGATTCCCTTTCTGTTTCTCTTATTTACGTACCAATCTTTTCATCAATATCCACTGTCTTGATCGTTGTAGCTTAATAACAAGTCTTCAAAATCTTTTCAAAACTGTTTTGTCTATTCTATGTCCTTTGCCTTCTCATATAAATTTTACAACCAGCTTATTGATTTCTAGATAAAGTCTTACATTGAATCTATTTATCAATTTGTGGAAATTTTGACATCTTAAATATATTGAATCTTCCAATCCATGAACACGGTATATCTCTCCATTTATGTAGCTCTTCTTTGACTTCTGCCATCAAAGTTTTCAGGACACAAATCCTGCACATTTTTGGTTAAATTTACCTCTAAATATTATACAGGTTTTGTGATATGGTTATTGTTGCTATTGTATACGGTACTATTTTTTAACTTCTAATTTCCAATTATAAGTTGCCAGTATATAGAATTAAAGTTGATTGCATCACTCATTCTATTTTACTGCTGTGTAGTCCTCCAATTTGTGCATGTGCCGTAATTTATTCAAACAATCTCCTGTGTTTGGATATTTATATTATTTCCAATATTTTGCAGTTACCCAATGAATAACTTTGTGCATATGTCTTTTCATATTGTTGAAAGGTGTGCCTTCAGGGTAAATTTTTAAAAGCATTTCTGTTAGGTTGAAAGGTAAGTGCTTATGAATTTTTTTTAGGTATTTCCAAATTCCCCTATGAAAAGATTGTATTTTGCATTCTCACCAGCGATATCTAAGAGCACCTGTTTTCACCCACAGCTTCACCAATGGAGTATATTGTCAAAGTTTTAAATGCTTACCAATCTCATGGGTGAGAAATGGTCTTTCAATGTAGTTTTAATTTGCATTTACCTTATTATAAGTGAAGTTGAGCATGTTTTAATATGGTTAAGAGCTATTTTTATATCTCTCTGCATAAATTGGCTTTTCATGTCTTTTGTCATTTTCCAGTAGGATGTTATAAGGTTTTGCCTCTATTTTTAAAATGTATTTTATATGAGGGATAGTAGGCCTTTATCTGCTAAACATCTTGCAAATATTTTCTAATGCTTTGTCATTTGTCTTTCGATTTAATTTATATTGCTTTTTACCATGAAAGCTTTGTTTTCAACTTCATGTACTAAAACTTATCAATATTTTCTTTTATTGCATTTTGAATTTTAGTTATAGTTACAAACTCATTTTCTAACCCTACGTTGCACAGTAAGGGCTGGCAAATTTTTTTCTGTAGAGGGTCAGACAAGAAATATTTTATTTAGACTTTGTAGGCCATAAGACCTCTGTTATGACTACTCAGTTCTGTCATTGTGGCTCAAAAGCAGTCATCGACAGTACGGAAATGAATAGACACTGCTCTAGAGATGTGTTCTAGAAACGTCAAAGGCAGATGTCCTATTAGAAGTATCCTAAAGGAAATTTTTTCTTTTTTCATTTATTTCTATTATTTAAAAAAAAAAGAAAAGAAAAGAATATGTTATTGTTTTGGTTTATATTTTGTAATTGTTTTATATTTTGGGCATCAAATCAGCCATAGCATTAATACTTATTCTGGGAAGACAACACTTAACTTCACACTTGGCATAGAACGGTCATCTGTTTGTTTCAGTAATTATTTTTGAATAACAGCTCGTTTTCTCTTTAGCTGTAGGAACCACAGATTACATGCCATTTCTACAGCCTGTGTCTCAGAGGCAGGATAACACGGTGGTTACAAGGACAGACACCGAAGCCAGAAACGCAGCCCTCCACCCCCATTCAGTAACTCCCTGACCGCAAAGTAAATAAAGTCTCTGGGCTCCTGCTTCCTCATCTATAAAATGAATCGTGAGAGCACCAATGTCAACAGACTGTCACAAGCGTGAGAAGAATTGTAACTGAAGGCTTTAGAACTGTGACTGAGAAGGATCAGCATCTCGGAATAAATAGCCACCGTGATCCTCAGCAGGCTCACAGCTGAACCCCAGGGAAAGGATCCTGATAGGAGTATCCACCTGCTTGTGGGAACATCCACTGCCCCCCAGGCGGATCTGAGGCCTGTGCAAAAGGAAGCGTGCTGCTTGGGCTGTAACATGACCCTACAGAGTGGGAAGATTTATAATTCTCCTTTCCAGAGCAGGAGGTGTGAGCTCATCCCACATTCTCCTCCAATAAGTGTGAAGTAAATGAATGCTAAACTTCAGGATGGCCTGACAGAATTGAAGAAGCATGGGATATGAAATGTAAAAAGTTTTTTTTCTATGCCTCAAATTATTCCTATTAAAGTGGAAAAAATAGACACGACGTTGCAAAAGTGTTGTGATGATTATATAAGATTTGTAGGATCGCCAACATGTTTCCTGGCACTCAATGATTTCCTTTGAATCTCAGCCATATAAACTTATAGGTAATCTCTACATAGTAAAAAAAAATAATACCTGACTTGATTTATGTGGGTCCTAGTGTATGAACATAATCCAAGTTTTCAGAGGTCAAGGAAGGAGTACTGGGAAGTGGAGGCCAGCACCGAGAACACAGCTGAGGAACTGGTCATGTTGCTCATCCTGGGAAAGCTGTGGGTAGGGACAGACCTGAAAAGGGATTCTGTGTGGGTTGTCTTGGAACTTCTCATGGCTGTGGTTGTAACACAGCAGGCATAGTAGTAAACACCCACAGGCAGGTAGGCACAGTAGTAAATACCCACATTTCATTTTCCTGCAAATTTGTTTTCAAGGTCAAAATGGAACTGGGAACATTGATTTTTGGCTGCAGCACCTAACTGAGCCTGAGCAGGCGATGTTGCTGGGAAAAATATCTCAGGCTGTGCTTCAACCAGTATACGTGGCTAGATATCACCCTATGCAGTATTTGGACTTTGTATGTTTTTCTCTCTGAATTAATATTTCAGGTTGATCCAATTTTAACTGTCAAAAACAAAAATGTAAGCAAAAAAAGAGAAATCCATGTGAACACCTGATGTATAAGGTGCACCATTAAAGAATTTCCTTGCTCTCTCATCAAGAGTTGAAGCGACTGAGGAGCAGCTATGAGTTCAGAGGCAGAAGATGAATGCTTCCAGCAATGACATCCTACTAAGAAGGCAGGAAAACAAGGACTTGATGCCCAGATGGCACAGGTCAGGGACAGGAGGGTGTGACCTGTCTTGGCTGGGTCACATGGTTTCCTGGGACCCTTCTGTGTTCACTGCAGATAAGACAGGTCTGAGCTTGCTGTAGCCTCAGTGCCCCAGGGGTGTCCAGCAGATCAGAGGACAGATCCTTGATCGTTATTGGTTTGGGGTTGATGCAGAGATTGACTTCATTTTCCTTCATATACCCTGGGTCCCTCCAGTTTTTCATACAGTCCATGTGAAAACATGCCTTTTGCGTTTAATGCAAAAACTTTTCCGCTTATAAATTTCCTAAGGATTCAGGACCCAGATGTAAGAAACACAGCTGTATTTTTCAATAATTATATCCATTACTGAAATTACTACTGATATTATTTGGATACCAAATTGAAATCCAAATGCATAAAGCATGGTATACATTTTTTAATATTAATTTAGGCATCACAATACATATTCACTTTCAGAGAAACCAAATTTCAATTTCATATCTTTCACTTGATTGAGACAACTGCAGAAAAAACTGTACAATGGATAAGGGCTTGAAGCCAGCCTAGATCTTGTAGCCTATCTCATGAAAATCACAATACGGAGAAGATGCTTTAAAAGTAATTTTTGGTATGCAATGATTACAATAGAAACCATTACAATTACTATTTTTTAAGAATTTGCAATATTTTAGGCAGCGTGCTATATATATATTATTTCATTTTCTTTTCTCAACAGTCCTATGATGTATTATTTTAGTCACCATTGTACAGATGAGCAAAGTGTGGCAAACAGGTGTCAATTCATTTATCCAAAATCACGCAAATGGTACATTTGGGAACCTGAGTAAGTAATAGGAGCTCAAGGAAGAAATTTTGAGGAAGAGGGGAAAATATAAACATAATGGTAAAAGACTCCCATTATTATAGCACTGTAGGGCAAACCCTATCTTCATTGTAGTACATTTATTTATACTTTTCTTCCTCTATAGCATATACATACACAGATACACATAAAGTTATATGATTATATACAAATCCTAAATTATATGCATATACAGTCGTGTGTCTCTTAACAACGGGGATACACTCTGAGAAATGCGTCATTAGGCAATTTCATCACCAGGCAAACATCATAGAGTGTACTCACACAAACCTAGACAGTGTAGCCTACTACACTCCTAGGCTCTGCGGTACTCATCCTATGGGACCACTGTTGTATGTGTGGTGCATTGTTGACTGAAATGTCACTATGCTGTGCTTGACTGAATATAATTTAAAATTATATACACACATATATTTATATAGTTTAAGTAGTCATTTACATATAGACCTGTTTATACTATTTATTTTGACCACAGACTTATACATAGTTTTATGTCTAAAATTTATGAATAATTAAATATAAATGTTAGAATGTTTACAATATGTAGTGAGATCATTTAAAAAATTTTTTAAATCAGTAAAAGTACAAAGAAATAAAAATCATCCATCACACAGGCTTTACTACTCTTAGAAGTTTTTAATTACCTTGATTTTATTAATATATATATGTTCATGTATCTGAGAGCTGACCATGTATGCAATTCTATGATCTCCTGTTTTTCTTGATATTTTCAAATTAGTATCTTCAACTTTATTCCTTGAAAGTCACTCTTTTTGATAGACATATGGTGTTTCCAAAAATTTGAGTGCAACGTAAAGTAGCTTCCCCCTGGATTCCAGGGAGGGTACTGAGGAGCCGACATGGCTTCACCCTCTGAGATCTGTCCTGTGGTGTCCCCCTGTGGCCATCTTAGGACTTGTTTATGACACTATTCCAAGGATTTTGTGAGTTATTCCTTCAGAAAGGCTTAATCCACACTTTTTATGCATTCCTTTCAGGAAAAGTCTCATATTCTTATGTTGGTTTGTGTTACCTTCAAGTTTTCTTTGCCTTCCAGGCCGTGCTTCTCCGAATGGAAAGTGTGTGGCAATCACCCGGAAACCTTGCGCAATGCAGATTCTGCTTCAGTGGGTCTGTGTTGAGGCTTGATTTTCCTCATTTCTAACAAGCTCCTTGGCGAAGCAGATGCTGCTGGTCCGTGAATCCAACTTTGAGTACCAAGGACTTAGAGTATTAGTCTAAATAATTTTATTTTTGAATATGAAATAATAACCCAAATGGTCAACAGAATGTCTCAATTTATTGAGCATTAGACATGCTCCAAGAATTGTAAGAACTTTATATGTATTATTTAAGTTGCTCTTCTCAACAGTTTATTCAGGTAAAAATAATTATGTTATCCATTTTAAAATGAGGAAAATGAATCAAAGCTATGTTAAGCAATTTATCCAGAGTAAGACAGCTAATATGGGGAGGGTGGATGTGTAACAAAGGGTCACTGAAGAAATGTTGAGAAATAGGAAAACATTAAATAAAAATAAATGTCACTCCTCAGTATGTCATTCCACGGCAGTGACTAACAACTGTTTTCTGTAGAGGGCCAAATAGTGAACATTTCAGGTTTTGTGGGTCTCTGTTGCAACTACTCAACTCTGTCAGTGTAGTGCAAACGCAGCTGGGTAGACAATATGTAAACAAATGGGCAAAGTTGTGTTTCAATAAAACTTTATTTACAAAACTAAGGATTGCTGGACATGGACATTTTACTTACTCCCTGCTTCGTGGAACCACTATTACCATTATGGTTAATTGTAGTTTTTTAGTTTCTGTTTTTCTAGGAGATATAGAATAATAATATAATTAGATGGGAAATTAAAAATACATAATTTTAAGCATGTCATATATATAGTTATATTTTATATGGTTATAGAAACAGGCTCATTATTAAATGTATAAATCAATAAAATATTGACTCAGATATGCATACATATCTTTCAAAGTATTAGAAGCTTTTGGTTAAAATGTATAAAATCTGTAGAAGTACCAAGAAGAAATTAAAACCAACTCTTCTTCAGGGGCATCTACTTTTTAAACTGGGGAATTTCTGTCCTTTTGGTCTTTTGTCTATATACATTTATGTATTTGAGAGCTTACTGTATAGATGGGCTCTGTGTTCAACATTTTTCTTGCTAATATGTGATGAATATCTTCAATTTTACTTATAATTCTTCAAAAAACATGTTTTTAAAGGCTTCGTAGTATTTTGTCGCTTTAAAACCACTTAGATAAGGTGCCCCTTTTTCTCCTGTTCATCACTGTAGCGTGGCCAGGTTTTCACCCTCATAAACATCCCAGTGGTCTGTTGCAAAGTCAAAGTAGCTTCATCGCCTGAGGTTAGTCCCTGTGTGGCCACCTCAGTCGAATTCTGCACTGTTCTTTTGAGGATTAAATGAAAGAATCCATTTGAAGTATTTAGCACCGATATTGTGAGAGGCTTAATTGAATCTTTTCGTTCACTTCTCTCTGGAAAAGGTTCATGTTCTCTGACTCTGTATATTCCTTTCAGGGTCTGTGGAAACTTTGGCCCTAGAGTTCCTCCCACTGTGGACACACCACAGTCAGGAAGCACGAAGGACGGCGTGTAGGACACACAATCCTGAGTGTGCCCCTGAGAAGGGGCTGACACTGCCGTGGGAGCCCCCTGGTGTTCCTTCATTCTGCTTTCATAGCATCTCCGCGCTTAATAGCACAACCTGATTCTCAGAAGGGAGAGATGGAGAGTGCACGTGTGGCAGTTATTTCAGGAACTAGATCAACTACATTGTGGCAACTGTGTGGTAAGATAGCCATAAAAATAAAGGGACCAACCTTAGACAATTTTCTGAAGTAAAGATTTTTCCTCCTTAATTTCCTCATTGTTTGAAAGTAGACTACAAGGACATGGGAAAGGAATGTTTATAGTTTTACCTTTTACATTCTGTTTCCCTGTTCCTTGAAAACTCCCACCCACCCAATTACTAAACACAGAATTCAATTCTCAATAATTTTTTTATTTTATTAATTTTTGTGGGATATTACCTTTGTTTCACCTATAGATGCAGGGAGCATACATTGCCCTTCTCTTTAACCATCTGATCCTTATGCAGGATCTTTAGTTTTCTTTGCAGAACCCTGGAGAACAAGATTTTAGGGTATGTCCGCCATGTTGGAGTTACCGGATGTGCCCGGGAGCTCGTTCCAACGGAGTGGGGCTGGTTTTGTCCCAGCATGGAGCCCTGAATGGGTAATGAGGTGCCACT